TCTATGGGCTCCAGTAACCACTTAACACCAGGTGGGCTGTGAGCTCGTCCAGACATCTAAGCAATAAAATAAAATTAAAAAAAAATTGATAGCTCAGCCCCACGATGTTATGTCCGGTCGTACCGCGTGCGACGCCGCGAGGTAAAGCTAGTCTAAAAAAGTAGCCTAAATTACTCGTTATATCATCAGCTACCTATCAGTGAAAGTTTCGTCAAAATTGGCCCAGCCGTTCCAGAGATTAGCCGGAACAAACAGACAGACAGACAAAAATTGTAAAAAAATTTTTTTGGTGTATGTACCGTATATAACTACATATTTATATGCATGTAGTAAAAAGTGGTTATTTCAATATTAAAAACAGACACTCCAATTTTATTTATATGTATAGATTCAATGTCATTTTACGGACGAATTATACAGAATACTACCGCTGTATTCGAGCAGTGTCGAAATTTTAAGGCCGCTGCATCACATATTATGGTAAATAGCTGTGTCAAGAATTTTTTGCTAGTCTGACATAAATGAGCTCACGTCTCACTTCGGAGTGATTGTGGCCTAAATGATAAGATTATTAGTGGTTTTTTTATGATAGAAAGCTTACTGGTTGCTCGGAGACCTTTCAAGTTTCACCAGGACAGGTGGGCGAGCAAGGGCTCAGCCAGAAGGGGCGGAATTTGCTAACAGCTACCCGAGCGCCTCCAAGGCAGACTTAACAACTCAAAAGCAGCTGCTTCGCGAATGAATCTACTACCGGATCGGAATCACGATCCGCTGAGAAGACCCGGCGAGAAACTCAACGGACTGATGCTTAGGTTAAGTTGCACGTCGAACTCTTTGCCGAGATCGACGAGTACAGTTACCGGGGTTCCTAGTGTTAGAGCTGAAGACGTCTAATGCAAGGGTTATTGGATCTGATGGGTCCGTAAGGACATGTAAGGTGCTCTTGTAAGGAGCGATACAACTATACCGGCCTTCGAATCCCGCATGCAGGTACTAATTTTGCTAATGAAATACGTACTCAACAAATATTCAAGAACGACTTCAACAATGGAGGAAAAATATCACGTAATGAAAAAGAAAAGACGTGTGTCACTCGGAGACCGCCGCGGGTAAGCTATTTAATTTGCATAACATTTTTTATCAATGCAATTATAATTAGGAAATAATAATTTAATATTACAATAATAATAAATAAGACCACGCTATATTTATAAGCATTAACAAAAATAAAACATTAACTGTCCCCTTCACACTCATAAGTTAGACCGCGCAAGAGAGAGATGGGCAGACTTTTCACGATGCGCATGCAGTGCGACGTCACGCTACGCGCTTATTCAAAACACTACACAAGCGAAACCTGTGAATGTGTTGAACGCGAGCTACATGTTAGGCGGAGTGAGGGTGTTACGTTTTATTTTCGTTACGGAATATCTTGATTCGGTCGCCGCGCTCAAAGCCCGCGATAAAAGCTATGCAATAGCTTAAAACGAGCCTACAAAAATTAGAATTTGCGTAATTACTATGCAATTGAGATACGAGCTTTGATAACCACTTAACATCAGGTGGTATGTAACAAACAAAAAACCTGAATTTAGCGCTTATTGAAGTTTATGATACAATTTATTTATTCACTATAAACAAAAGTGCCGTCTAACTGTCTATTGTCGGGACGAAAAGCTTTTCGTCTGTGTATAAAGGACAGTCTCGGCTCAGTTATAATACGAAAGCTTCTAAATAAATATCTTGGACAACTTCAACTATCTATCTGGTTTATTTACTAGTCGCACGGTCTCTTGTGAGTCCGCGCGGGTGGATACCACCACCGTGCCTATTTCTGCCGTGAAGCAGTAATGCGTTTCGGTTTGAAGGGTAGGGGCAGCCGTTGTAACTATACTTGAGACCTTAGAACTTATATCTCAAGGTGGGTGGCGCATTTACGTTGTGGATGTCTATGGGCTCCAGTAACCACTTAACACCAGGTCGGCTGTGAGCTCGTCCAACCATCTAAGCAATAAAAAATTAAAAATCTATTATTTATTATGTTTCTTCTTCGATGATGGAAGAAAAGAAGAGAAAGGAAGAAAGGTTTCATTTTGATTTCCAGACTCATATCTTAACAGATCCATGTTGTATTTCCCAAGGGAGATGTGACCCGACCGTAGGTCTAATCATATGGATAAAGCAATAATACAATCAAATTTTAAGAATCAACTAATTTATTTACATATTCACATTATACAATTATTTTTTCTCAACATTCTTACGAAATAAATTATACACATTTTTTAATACACAATTTCTTATATAGTATAAAACTAATGTTAATATTTTTTTAATCTTAACAATAGTGTGAGTGGTTCTCTTTTGTCTGGTTTAGTATACAAAACATTATGAGTTCTAGTGAAATAAGATACTGAGCTTTTGCAGGCGACTGTTAGTCTGTAGATGATCTTTAGACACTCGCTTATAATGGCATTATACAGCGTGGGATGTATATAACATTACCTTAAATCATGCTACGTATGATAAAGGTTGCACACAAAAAATATTACTATATTGAAACACAAGATTTTTTAATTTATTATCTTTACACACGCTGTAGGTTTCGTCGAGGTCATTGACCAACAAGCAGTAGTATTATAGGAGAAATATACTAAATATATATTGAGATTCGATTCCGACAGTTTATTCGCAAATAAAAATAACATTGCATTTACTCTCCGAACTCGTCGAACCCGTCGCTTGCGACGAAAGGCTCGACGAGCGAATTAAACACACACACAGAAACACATAGAAACACAAACCACTGAGTTTCTCTCCGGATCTTCTCAGTGGGTCGCGTTTTCGATCCGGTGGTAGATTCTGCGAAGCACTGCTCTTGCTAGGGCCAATGTTAGCAACACTCCAGTTTGAGCCCCGTGAGCTCACCTACATGTTAGGGCGAAGCTGAAATAGCCTCTCAAGGCTATTAGCATAGGTAGAAAAGAAAACATTTACCTAGTGTTACGTCATGATAAAATAATATCACAGAGAGCACATTTTAATTACCTTTTTTTTTCTACAAATATCGATTTGGGGCCGATGCAATCATTGATCACGAGATGTTTGACAGTTGCCTGAATCTCGCTAACGATATTTTCAAGATAAGCTTGCATATATTCAAGTTCCGAACAACAACATTCAGACCGTCGGTCTAACGAGCAATAACACCCACACGCTCGGTAAAAAATATTCACGTATTCCTTACCTACGTAAATTAATATTTTTTATAAAATGCGAAAGCCTAGCAAAACACAAAAGCTCGCCAAGAGAACCATTCACACCGGATTAATTAAACTAAATAATGTTCTATCACAACATTCAGTTTCTTACGTACGTAATTGTCCTTTTGCGTAACTACCTAGCTACTTCCACCGCTGTGGGGTTAATGGGGAGCCAGAAATTTCGCATTTGACCGAATCCTTGTGAACTTATCAGAAACTAGCGACCCGCCCTCGCTTCGCTTCGGAAACATTAAAACACACATGAAACCAAAAAAATATAATAAATTTTTTTTTAAAAAAGTAGCCTATGTTCATCAGGGACAATGTCGGCTTCTAATGGAAAAAGACTTTTTCAAATCGGTCCAGTAGTTTCGGAGCCTATTCGAAACAAACAAACAAACAAATCTTTCCTCTTTATAATATTAGTTTAGACTAGCGGCTCGCTCAGGCTCCGCTCGGGTCTTTAACAAAAATTTCAACGATATTTGTTGTGGTTTTATTTTTTTAAATAAAAGAACACTTATTGCGGCATAACTATAATAGTTAGACACATGCTGTCGCGACACTTTTTGTAAATAATAATGTGTTCTACAAAGTCGTAGAGCATTATCTTATTCTATCATCAATAGTTTTCGCAGGGCACGCGATATGAAAAATATTTTAGGTATTTTTTTTTACACCTTGGGTTGCATTGTCGGAGTCTTAGTAAGGATCCCTATTTTTTTTCAAAAAAGACTATAGCCTATGTCACTCGGGAATAGTGTAGCTTCCAACCAGTCAAAGAATTTTTCAAATCGGTTCAGTAGTTTCGGAGCCTATTCAGTACAGACAAACAAACAAATATTTCCTCTTTATAATATTAGTATAGATATTAATAATTACAGGCGCTTTCACTATAAGCGAAAATTACTTTTAACTGTTTTGGTGTTATATATATTAATGAAACCCTTCTCGGGTAGGCATCAGTATCTGTCTAAATTCGGCTGCAAAGTAACATTGGATTCCTCTGCGTGTGCCAAAAGTTCATTCTACGCGGATTCGAGGAACTAATGAATATGACACCATCCTACCACCAGATATCGCAGAAATTTCACCCCATTTACCGTAAACGTCTTGTACAGACGTTCCCAGAGATGAATCTTGAACCGTAAAATAATACAGTGAACTCAAAATTTGTGTATACACTGTGGCATGTCTCTCGTCAAGCGAGGTTCTGAAATAGTATCATAGTTCCAATGTAAGCAGTGATCAAGTTTTACCCCGGTAAATTTTATTTCCTCTGGGATTGTCACCCATTGTCGGGACTCTGAACTCACCAGCCATTGCAATACAAAAAATAAATATAAAGGCAGTCCTCCTATAAAACGGTAGATAATAATGTACACTTTTACTAGTGGTAGGACCTCTTGTGAGTCCGCACGGGTAGGTACCACCACCCCGCCTATTTTTTATTTTTTATTAAAAATAAATATAAACATTTTGATTCTACAATCATTCGGTCAAATACATTACCAACTTCTTTATCATTTAGTAATCGGGCTCTTCGCAAATTTTAGATATAAACACTGCGTTATAACAATCTGTTCAGTTCATTAATAATCAACTGTGGACGTTCATTGACGTAGTACAAAATGAAACAGTTATATTACTTAATAAACGGAAGATTGTAATGTTTTTTTTTTTGTTTTCATTTATTTCCAATCATTATATGTTCTATATTTGATGGTTTTCATTAAATCATAACGTTAATAAAATGGATAGGCAGACAAGAGTCACGATGAGGCTTGAGCTTCTGATAGTACCTGAAAAACAAAAGGACAATTAGAATGTTTTCAGCCTATCTATGATCTAAAGGATCTAAAGGACGATTGATGCACGAATATCAAGCGATTTTTATTTATTTATTGCTTTAATGGGTAGACGAGCTCACAGCCCGCCTGGTGTTAAGTGGTTACTGAAGCCCATAGACATCTACAACGTAAATGCGCCACCCACCTTGAGATATAAGTTCTAAGGTCTCAAGTATAGTCACAAGGGCTGCCCCACCCTTCAAACCGAAACGCATTACTGCTTCACGGCAGAAATAGGCAAGGTGGGTAATCATTGTGGGTGGGTAACCTACCCGTGCGGACTCACAAGAGGTTCTACCACCAGTAAAAAGCGATAATGATTTTTATTTGGATAACAGCTGGATCATCTTCCGGGACGCAGATGCTGGTAGTGACCTTGGAAGCTGGTGAATATGTACTAAAGATAAGAAGGAGGATATATGGATAGTATAGAAATATGAGGTTAGTTTTAGATGTAGAATGTAGGGAGAGAGCCAGCATCTCAAATGTGCCGATTAAAAGCTGAGCGTCATGTGTAAGATCAGGCTCCGATTGGTCATGTGAACAGACTTACTTCGTTTAACAGTCTCTATCTATATATACATATACGTGAAGCAAAAACTTTGTACCCCTTTTTACAAAAATTGCGCCGACGGAGGAGTATGAAATTTCCCACACATAAAAAAAATATAGAGAAGGAGTGCAGAATGTTAATATTTTTTTCTAATTATGCATACAAATTAACATAACCAATCAACATACACATTAAATCAATATAAAAAAGTACACACACTACCATGTATTTGACACAACACAAATATATATAATCTTTGTTTATTGTCAAACTTTTGTTATTATTTTAAGTCTGCGGTCAAATTGATAATAGATTCATATTGTTTGTCTTTAATATTATGTGTCTATAGTGCAGTCTTGGCATAATCCGTGATTAGAAATATATATAGTCTTTGACAATAGAACCATAGCAATGTTCAAACTTATAATTTCAATTAATTATAGTAGAATTTCGACTACCGTGGGACCACTAGTTTTAATAAATTTACAAATTGGTCTCTAGGCTTCGCAATTAGCAACAATTTGGCAGTGTTAATGGCATGGGCGATAAGCTGTCTGAGGCGAATTTACCAGAAGAATCTTCCCGAGTCACTGATGCTGGATGAGGGGCGTCTTCCTTGATGAAGACAGGGTCGCTCTTCCGAGCGTAGATATCGTAGATAGTCGCAACGCAGCACAGTGAAAACTGCCCATCTGTAGGTGGCGTCAGTGTGTACCTTTGAAAAAAGATAAGTGGTCTGAGAATTATAATCATAATAATCCATTAAGATCTCGTCGTAAGGGTTCGAAGTATACCATAATTAAGAAGATTTGAAAAGATTAGAGGTGGTTAGATTTGAGAAGATTAAAGTCCAGAGACGTGACATTCCACAGCCTATTTTGACCCTTAAATTTATGACGATAAGATTGTCGCACCCTTCAAACTGAAACGCATAGCTGATCCGTGACCGAAATTGGCAAAGTGGCAGTTATTCGTGTGAGTTCAGTATTTATCACTAACAATAATATATTTTTCTACATCGTGAATGTAATTCATGTAAATGTCTTAAAAACGTATTCCAATGAAATTAATAATATGATCTCATTTCCTCACGTTTCAAGGTAGGTGGTGGAATTCACATTGAAATATCATTTTGAGGTTCCTATTTACACCAATAAAAGATTTTATACCTGAGAATATCTTTTTCCTCCATATCCGCGTTATCATAGACGTAGTGATCCTGGTAGACCCTGTTGAGACTGGCGCTGGTATAGGTCAGTCCCATCTTGTAGTGCTCAGCCTCCATGATGGAGATCTCAATTTGGCTGAAGGCCCCGCGCTCCTTGAAATCCAAATCTGGTGATCGCCAGGACACTGTCTCCGCAATCTGTGTTTTAAACATTCCTTAATATACTAATGAACTCATCGTGGCTTAAAAGATGAGACGCCTAGTATAATTGCATCGACAGACTAAGTGGGTGTTCAAATCCCGCAAACAAGTACATTGTTTTCTATGCCTTTTAGGCATACTTAAAACACATTCGTGAATAATTTCCATGATAAATCACATCTCGTAATGATCATATCTTTGCCTTGTCTATTAGTGCCGAAAAGCAGCTAGGTATTATTTCCGGTTCGAAGGATGGATAAAAGAAGAGTATCTTCTTTATTCTTTCTGAATGGACCGTAGCCCATACTACCAGAACATATTTTATGTTCAAAGCTAAACTCAAATATTGATTTCGAATAATCCCAAACATATTTTTTCCCAAAAGGTTTAGGTATCACTTAAAATGTCATTTAAGTTTGCAAAGAAAAGTCCAAACTAAACAGAGTCCCGAAAGCTCGTAACATAAACATTCGTTAGAAACTTTTAGAAGTAAAAGCTGTCCCAAAGCATATTAAAATATTCCTAGCCACGTGTATTCTATTCAAAATTAATTTCAACAGTTCAAAAACACAAAAGCTTTTACAAAAAAAAATGTAATAAAAGCTCCCGGTGAAAGTTTCCGTCGAACATTGTTTTGTTGGAAGCTTTCAGTAACAATGAGAGGCATTCATAGATTCTCATCAGTGCGAAAGGATTTTGAGACTTTACAAATCGATTTCAGTTTTGTTCCACACCTCCTAATGTCGATTTATTGTAACTAGAGGTCCCGCAGTAGTCGAAATTCGATTATAATTAATTGGAATTGTAGGATAAGTTTGTACACTATTATGCTTGTATTTTATACTTCTATAATCACAAATTTCGCCATGGCTACACTATAAAAAAATATTAATAAAGACAAACAATATTTAATCTATTCTCAATTTGACAACAGACGTCAACAACAAAAGTTTGACAATAAATAGAATTTTTTTTTTTTTTTTTATTGCCTTTGTAGGCAGACGAGCACACGGCCCACCTGATGGTAAGTGGTCACCGTCGCTCATGGACGTCAGCAATGCCAGGGGCAGAGCCAAGCCGCTGCCTACCATAAAGAACTCTCCGCAAGCCTCGTTTGAAGAAGGACATGTCATAGCGCTCGGAAAACACCGTGGAGGGGAGTTCATTCCAAAGCCGNGGAAAGGAAAGGAATAGAACTGGCTCTCCAACCCACATGCCGGAACACAGCTAGGCTATTTGGCGGCAGACTCTAGTTGGAGGGTGGTCGCCAGCCAGTCGGACTAGGTCCTACCACCGATTGTGTTTTCGGCTCCCGTTTAGCACCACCCAGGGGTTACTTGTAGGGAATCGCGGGTTAAACCTACGGAAGCGGGAAGCATCAACCCCGCATACATCATCAGTATACATGCGTGTGTGCATCAAATACATGGTATGTAGTATGTGTAATGTTTTTTCTTTATTGATTTAATGTATCTTTTATGCACTTTTTAAAAAAAAATATTAGTCTTGTGCACTTCTTCTCTATATTCTCTATAAGTGTGGAAAATTTCATACTCCTCCGTCCGCGCAATTTTCTTAAACAGGGATACAAAGTTTTTGCTTCACGTATTAATATATAGATGAGTCTCAGCTCGGGCTTAAGTATCAGGTGATCCAGCATTAATGGGTACAGCTGTTATGCTATTAGGCAGTCTTAGGTTCTAATAGGACCTGAAGTTAAACAATACGATTCGACCTTGCGTCAAAAGGTAGGCGGTATTTACGCACGGTCCTCCTGGTGTCATATGCTTACCAGAACCCATAGACATCCACAACGTAAACGGCGCCACCCACCTTGACACATAAGTACTAAGGTCTCAAGTATAGTTACAACGGCTGCCCCACCTTTCAAACCGAAACGCGTTACTGCTTCACGGCAGAAATAGGCAGGGCGGTGGTACCTACCCGCGCGGACTCACAAGAGGTTCTACCACCAGTAATTATGTAAATTATAATTTTGCGGGTTTGATTTTTATTATACCATTTTATTCCTTCACCGTGCAAGTCAGGCAGTTATAGTACAATGGCTGCTCTGTTCTTCAAACCGAAATACCGTTACTGCTTCACTGCAGAAATAAGCAGAGTTGTACCTACCCATGTGGATTCACAGGACGCCTTACCACCATTGATTACGCAAATTATAATTTTGCATATTTTTTATGTAAGTATTTTATTAAAAAAATTGGTATCTGCCAGCGGGATTCGAACACCGTTATATTGCATCATATGAATACACACAGCTTCTTATCTTTTATTGCAAACCATTGGAGTTTCCAGTTTGAAAGAATTTTCGATATTTTGGTAAAGTTATGACTACGAAGATCAATAAGCAAAGTGTCTATTAGCTTATATAACAACATTATATTAGGTGTAACATCAGCTCTTTAGGCCGATGATTGGAAGGAAAACCAGCTCTTACTTTGTTTTCATCCAGAAGCCATGTTATGTTGGGAGCTGGGTACGCCTCGTCAACAGAGCAGTTGGCTCTTATGACGTCACCCCTCGCGTAGCTCCCACGAGATATCGTGAGATGTGGCGCCCGAAACGGAGGGTCTGCAAGAGAGTCGTTTTGTAATTGGCCTATGACATATTTATTATTTATTTATCGTATGGCATTCGTTTACACTGCATGGTTATAATTAAAATTTACAGTTTGTGAAATAATCGATAGCTTCTTCTGTTACATTTTTGAGATCCTCCACTTGGCCTGCGAATCTCGTTAGTGGGCATTCCATGACAATGTGGCGTATAGTTTGCTCTGGGCATCCGCATTCACAGCTTTCGTTTTCCGTCCAGCCCCATCTCTTCCGCAGTTGGTTACAGTGACCAGCTCCCGTTCTCAGGTGGTTAAGCATGCACCAGATTGCACATATTTAACAGCCTAACTTGGTTTATCAGAATTTCAATGAGGACACGTCAGTATTAAGTGGTTAAACAGGCTCATAGATATTAGTATGTAAATGCCAATATGATCCTTTTAACATGGTGATAAAGTTTGAATTAAATCCGTACGTACCCAGCATCATTAGCTTACACAAAAAAATCTTGTTGGACTAAAAAGCGCCAACAAAGCTATAATGAGCTATAAAGAACTTTGTAACCTATTGCATAAAGACCACAAGCGGTACGAGGTACTAACAAAAACTTTTTTATGGTACAGCGTTCACTAAAAAAACAACAATGTAGTATTGCATTGCAATTTCCACAGCTTTATGCTGGACTTTTGAAAGCATTAAGTTTAAAGAGAACACAAAGCTAGTGCTTTTTAAGACTATTAAGTTTTCGAATGCAAAACAAATTGCCATTACTGATGGTAGGACCTCTTGTGAGTCCGCGCGGGTAGGTACCACCACCCTGCTTATTTCTGCCGTGAAGCAGTAACGCGTTTTTTTTTTTTATTGCTTACATGGGTGGACGAGCTCACAGCCCACCTGGTGTTAAGTGGTTACTGGAGCCCATAGACATCTACAACGTAAATGCGCCACCCACCTTGAGATATAAGTTCTAAGGTCTCAGTATAGTGACAACGGCTACCCCACCCTTCGAACCGAAACGCATTACTGCTTCACGGCGGAAATAGGCGGGGTGGTGGTACCTACCCGTGCGGACTCCCAAGAGGTCCTACCACCAGTGATTACGCAAATTATAATTCTGCGGGTTTGATTTTTATTACACGATGTTATTCCTTCACCGTGGAAGTCAATCGTGAACATTTGTTGAGTACGTATTTCATTAGAAAAATTGGTACCCGCCTGCGGGATTCGAACACCGGTGCATCGCTACACACGAATGCACCGGATGTCTTATCCTTTAGGCCACGACGACATCTAAAACGACTTCTTCTTCTTTCGGTTTGAAGGGTGGGGCAGCCGTTGTAACGCGCATTTACATTGTAGATGACTATGGACTCCAGTAACCAATTAACACCAGGTGGGCTGTGAGCTCGTCCAACCATCTATGCAATAAAAAATTTAAAAAAATCATGGTTCTATTCTATAAGCCGACAGACGTCCACTGCTGGACATTGTCATGGTTACAGACAAGCGATACTACAAAGTTTTTGTAAAGTCCACGTCACGTTGATGACTTGGGTGTTTTTGGGAGGGGTCTAGTAAGGGCTCTAGGGAGGGTATAGATTAAAACTCACCAACAACCGTGAGTGGCGCCGACTCTATATCAGTATGAAAGAGGGGTGCGTCTGCTGATACTTCACACTGATAATCTCCGCTGAGGTGCCTGTTCATATTCACTATCCTCACTTGCTGGTGATCCGATTGCGTTAGCTGCGTAAGTTTCCAGAAAATTATAAATGGATATCCATGAAATCGTAAAAATTTAATTGGTAATAAGACCATATTTGCTTCTGACTATTCGGTTAAGATTGAAGTGTAAATATTTAGGAACATCTACTGCTGTCTATATAAATACTGCATTGAAAATACCACAACACCATTTAAGATGTGGAAGAGCCTTTAAATGCAGACTTTTTGGCGGGAACGCGTGGAGTGAATTTGTGTGATTTGTTTTATTTTGTAATTCTTCAGGTTTAAATGTGTAATAACGGTGGTTTATTAACTGTTTAATATCTGTGAAAGTGCACAAATGTGGGAAAATAAAACAAAGCCGCTGGACGTATCTTCTCGGTATCCTCCAAAAGGCCCACTGAAAAAGTCTCCGTAAATAACCACCATTTTACTGATATTGTATTTCATCTCATATGATCTCATCTCATCTCATTTCATTTCATTTCGTGCCATGCCATTTTTCATAAAAATAAAAATATAAATTAAAATGAGACTTCACCTAATAGTCTTAGTTACCAGATCATAAAATCCCTTTTAAAAAAACCTTTGACTGCTTGACCTCGCGTATAGGTGGACGACGTGACAGTATTTAACTTCTAGTGTCTAAGCGCTTCGGTGGCTGCTAAATACCAGTTGGAACGTGACCTCATTTACCCATCTACGCAGGTGAAGAAATTCATTATTGATTTGCGGAAAAAGTATAGAACAAAAAGGAAAGTAATATGTTTGCCTGGCAATAATGTGTGAACGTTTATTTAGTGATAATTAATTGTGCTGGCAACAAAATTTAAACATGCTTTAGTGATTTAAATGATAATGCTTACATCAACTGAAGCACCAGGTAGCGGAAATACCATAGTAGGAGGCATTTCCCTTGGCACGAATCTGTAGAATTCTGTTTCCGCTCTGTACCACTTAATAGAGTACAATGCTGCACCCTCTAAGTCATAGGAACACCTTAATACAGCAGACTGACCATCACCGGAGAGGACCGCTCTGGGCACGGAGATCGTGAGGTCTTTTAACGACCACACTCCTCCTGCGAACAGAAAATGTGGATTAAAATCACGTCATGTAAAAAAAAGTTTATTGGGAGCTAATTTATTTGCCAAATTTGATGGTAGATAGTAATAGTAGGTGGTAACAACCAGGACTAGTTATATTTGTATAAAATGGACGGTGAACCTATTTTCGCAGATTGAGATCTGGTTGCAATTGAAGATGGGCCAGACCAAATGATATTATTGTATTAAAAATTATTTTTTACTTCACAAATTTTTCATTTGCTTTTGTAACTAATACCATATAGACAGGACTATTTTCCAGATTCTATTCATTTGAAACAAAATAATCTAGAGGACTACAAAAATTCCGGATCCGCACAAAAGCAAGTTTTGCTAAAATTAAATCGCTCTTAAGGTTCTAATAATTCGGAATATAAATATTATATAATATGTTTTGTGACGAGAGGGCAGGTGCGTAGTCGTGATTAGTAGCACCTCTCCCCTTGTCTGCCCCCTTGACCTGACCCCGCATGTGGAGAAACAAGATATAGGGAGATACAATAAGTAGACTCAGTTTTATAGTACCTTTTTTATAGAGGAAACTCAAGTGAGCATTTTACAATACCCTTTGCATTGTGTTCTGTACTCTTGAGACCATATTCTTACAGTTCCCTATACACGAGATCACACGTAACCTAAACGAAGACACGATCGATGCATACTGCTTCGTACTTTTGTTTTATTCCTTCGATTGTATTTCATGAAATATAATCAGCTTAAAATACAGTCCACTTTAATTGGACAACGTGTTTAAAAATCGCATAAAGCTCAAAAGTTACGATACTGTTTTCCACATTACTCGGAGATCAGAAGGCAGTGCCTTACAAGTCGTTGTCACGATAGAAATATTGTAACGATCCCTGTTCCGGGGTAGGTCTCGTGGAAACCGAGCTTTGTCCCGGGGGACTAAGGACCCCTCGGTACCCGGGATTTTCGTGCAAGCCATGAGAATTGATATCGCCCTGTTCCGACATAATAGCTTGTCAGCAATTTGAATTGGAACGGGGTTTGAAGATTGTTTTACGTGTACGCTTAGTCTAAATTATATAAATACCATGCATAGTTTATCGTCTTGAATAAATGTTTAATATGAAACAAAGATACATTTCCCAAAAGCATATCCTACGAATCCAGAACAGTTTTTCTGACATAGCCATCGGAAAGACATACGCGAAACACGAAAATATAAACAAGGAATGGCCAATATTTAAACTAAGATCTTTCAGAAAAGAACACAGGAATGAAGCACACCAGTGCGGGCTCTCAATCCCACAGGCATTTACACTAATTAATAAATCTTTAAACGACCCCTCTGAAAGTGGATGTCGGCCAATATCACTATAGCTAAATACTTGTTGCAAGTTTTCCATTAAAGATGAGGAATTGTTCGAGATGATTCCGGCATCTCGTTTTTACCATCGCACCGCCCGCCACCGGAGTAGAGTTCATCCATACTACCTGGAGCCACTGCGGTCATCCACAGTGCGTTTCCANCTCAATTATCAATCTTTAAACGACCCCTCTGAAAGTGGATGTCGGCCAATATCACTATAGCTAAATACTTGTTGCAAGTTTTCCATTAAAGATGAGGAATTGTTCGAGATGATTCCGGCATCTCGTTTTTACCATCGCACCGCCCGCCACCGGAGTAGAGTTCATCCATACTACCTGGAGCCACTGCGGTCATCCACAGTGCGTTTCCAGAGATCTTTTTTGCCACGTACCATCCGGCTATAGAATGAGCTCCCCCCTCCACGGTGTTTCCCGAGCGCTATGACATGTCCTTCTTCAAACGAGGCTTGTGGAGAGTATTAAGCGGTAGGCAGCGGCTTGGCTCTGCCCCTGGCATTGCTGAAGTCCATGGGCGACGGTAACCACTCACCATCAGGTGGGCCGTATGCTCGTCTGCCTACAAGGGCAATAAATAAAAAATAATAATAATAAAAAACTCAACCGAAACCATTCCTAATTTTGTAAATGTGGTAGAAGGGAAAACGGATTTCCTTTTTCCGTAACAATTCTAATCACACTCTCACGATTGAAAGCCATTACCGCGGTTGAGGCTTCCAATCGCTTGATTGAAGTCGTCGAAGCGACTGACCAATTTCGATAAAACAGTCAGCGCTGCACTGACCTGCCAATTACTAAGATGTGATAGCTATCTGGGTGGAAATCACGTGCACCTTAGAGGTCTTTGTCGGCGCCGCAGTGGATTAAACTATACCTATATATGTGGAAGTATCCATGAAACAATTATAGGTATAGATATTTTTTTATTGCCTTATAGGCAGACGATTATGCGGCCCACCTGATGGTGAGTGGCTACTGCCGCCCTTGGACTTCAGTAATGTCAGGGGCAGAGCCAAGCCGCTGACTATCGAAACTTTTACTAACTAAGTGAATGATTACTATTATCCAAGGATGTCATTTTTTTAAATTATCTATCAGCTAGTAGCTCCCGGGACTCATTATCTATTACTGGTGGTAGGACCTCTTGTGAGTTCGCGCGGATGGGTACCACCACCCTGCCTATTTCAGCCGTGAAGCAGTAATGCGTTTCGGTTTGAAGGGTGGGGCAGCCGTTGTAACTATACTGGGACCCTTAGAACTTATATCTCAAGGTGAGTGGCGCATTTACATTGTAGATGTCTATGGGCTCCAGTAACGACTTAACACTAGGTGGGCTGTGAGTGAGGTTCTGTGTCACTCTGTACTACAGAATATTTATGCTTCCTGTCTTTCAAAAGTTGATAGCTCTGTGAGCTTAATTTCATGAAAAGTTCGTTTAAACCAATCCGCGTCATGACCTAGTTTTACCTCATTACCATTCCGTACTGGCCCGAGTACGGCTTAATCATTGAATTGAAAAGTTTTATTTTAATTAGGTCTCTATCTGTGAATTTATCTTCATTTTTTGACGCTACCTTAAAAATGAACCATTTATATAGGATTGTGATTATAAATCGTTAAGCAGTTTCCCTCATTGAAATTTTAATTTCAATGAGGGAAACTGCTTATTGAAATTTTAATTTCAATGTCAATTAGATAAGATTTTCAAAAAAATTATCGTTGTTTGAGTGGACGATGTCATTGCCTAATTTTAAGTACCGAAGTATGATGCTACCTGCCTTGAGACACCCAAAATCAACTGTGCAGTTGTAACAGCTTCCGAACCCATCGAACCAGAACGCGTTACAGCAACGCGCAACAGGCATGTCAGGACCAGGGTCCTTACCAGAATGGTACAATATGCTAGCTTCACGCTCAGAGAAACCCACTGAGTTTCTCGCCGGATCTTCTCAGTGGGTCGCGATTCCAATCCGATGGTAGACTCTGCGAAGCACTGCTCTTGCTAGGGCTAGGGCTAGCAAATTTGCTCAAGTTGAGCCCGTAAGCTCACCTCCCGCCCGGGCGTATAGTTACCAGCGAATAGTTAGGGGAAAAAACACTCATATGAGTAATTTTCATTTAAAAAATAACAATTTATTTACGTTGCACAAACAAGAAAGTTGCTTAAACGCAATATTCATTCATATTCATAAAAGCCCTAGTTAATTTTTACGCGATCGAGAAGTTAAAAAGCTCGCATTAAGCTCACGGAACGCACTCTGGTTTAAGAGTTGTTATTAAATACCTTGATTTATTTATATACCACTAGATTTATATACCATTAAGTTGAGACCTAAACCTCACGTCTCATGGGCAGTACTCACTGAACTATGGAGTCTAATGATTCTTTAACATCAACCAGCTTTGATTTGATTTGCTCAGTAATCAAAAAGGGTCTTTTTTCATACTGAACAGCCATGACAATGACGAAATGTGGAGCGATCGTTCGCTGACAATATCATTACTGCTAATGTGCACAACGAATTGTTCGCATTTCCAACACGAGCAGCGATGTATACGGCCAATTGGGTTAATGACGCGAAATGTTCTAACAACGGATGTGTTGTGCTGTATCGACTCGGGTGTAGGGATTATCACGTGATTGGGGTATTTGTCTGCTGTCTGAGAAGATTAGGCTATTGTTAGTCAAATACGTATGCTTGTTTGTTTATTAACCAAACAAACATACATATATCAATGATTAAGGTAGAATTAAATCTGAACAAATATAGTCCAGCTAACAGTACAAACAAAACATGACATAGGTTAACTAAAACGATTGTAACTTTTGTATTATGCAAGATAGGCAAACGAACTCACGATAGACCTGTTAACAAAAGGTTATCAGAGGTTTCAACTACCGATCTAAATATACCTTCTCACCTTCAAATCAAAACGCTTGACAGCTTGACGGAAGAGACTTAGCTAAAATATATATAGGGACTTAATTATACTACACTAACAGCGGTAATAAACAATAATAACCAAATAATTTTGAAACTTGTTGTAGAAATATTTAACAGCAGACTCAACTAATATTTGGCACCCAAATCTAGAGTAGAGCTGAATGGATGAGATAAGAGTTCGCAAAGAAATTATCTGTTATGCTACTGCCACCTCCTACTGCCACCCTCCAGCTATCTGTTTCTCGCCGGATCTTCTCAGTGGGTCGCGTTTCAGGTCCGGCGGTAGACTCTGCAAAGCACTGCTCTTGCTAAGGTCAGTGTTAGCAACACTCTGGTTTGAGCCCCGTGAGCTCACCTTCACATGTTAGGGTGAAGTACAAATAGCCTCTCAAGGCTATCATCTTAGGTAGGAAAAAAAAGTTGAAATAAGGGTTCGCAAAGAAATGATCTGTCATGCTGTACCGTAACCATTACGATGAACTCTGTGAGAATCTTTCCCACAGACCTTATGACCGTGCTAGTTTTCTACCGACTATACGCAATATACCGCGTGGGAGTACACGGTATATTGCGTGAGTGGAAACTAGGAACCAGTAGTGGAATGATAGGTAGCCGTATATTCTTTAACATATTTGGACCTATTTTCATCAAAAGCGGGTGTGTGGTCGAGCGTAAAAATATTACCAAAAGACGGAAATCCTTTTGTATTATTTATAATATTAGTTGGTATTAAAATGAGCCTTAAATTTGATCTGACAAAACCTCAAGTCAGACCCAATTAGTTAATCCGAAGCTCTCCTGAAAATATCGCTGACATTTAAAACCAGATCAATCATTTTGAAGCCTAGTCTACACAAAAGCACCCGTAAAAGCGCCGTTTTCAATTTCCTCATGTTTATAGAGATAACTTGAAAACATTCCCACATAATGTCTGGCTAAGCCACATTTAACGTCCGCTTCATTCGACCGTAGTCCATCTCGTTTCCCCTTAGTCGAGTTATTTTCAACTCTTATTAATGTATAGGCATGAGTTATGTTTACGTTTTCCGTTTTGACCCGTCCCGGAGCGTGCTGGGGAGGTTGTTTAAAAATTTTATTCATCTACCCTCCGAACGCGGTTTTGTTGAATCACTTTCGGGGGTAGTTGGAAGTTTTGAATCCGAATCGAGTTAGGTTTTCGTTGTTCTTTTTGCGTGTATCTAATTAGCATGTGTCAGAGGTGAAGTAGAAAGAATTTCATACGCTGTAAGAACGAGAGATAATTTCAATAAAGCACATCCGACGTATCAGCTTTCTGGAGTTAATTATTATTTTTGGTGGTAGAAGCTCTTGTGAGTCTGCGCGGGTAGGTACCACCACCCTGCCTATTTCTGCCGTGAAGCAGTAATGCGTTTCGGTTTGAAGGGTGGGGCAGCCGTTGAACTATACTTGAGACCTTAGAACTTATATCTCAAGGTGGGTGGCGCATTTACGTTGTAGATGTCTATGGGCTCCAGTAACCACTTAACACCAGGTGGGCTATGAGCTCGTCCACCCAACTAAGCATTAAAGAAAAGTTAGATGTCTGCAGATTTGTATACTGAAAACTATCAAAAAGCCTCAGCAAGTAGTGCTTCGAGATAAAAATGTCAAACCTCACTCACATTAGCAATAAAAGCTCAAAGTATTGGATAATTATCTACGCGGCTGCTCTACAAAAGATATTAGATCTAATCTTAAATATATTGCTTTAAAAGATTCTTAATTTTAGAATTATTTTTAATCTCAAATATATCATTTTAGAGTTTTAAATGATTGCACGCTTATTGGTAGCAAGGGACTTTCTACATCAGAGTATGTGCTATTGAGACAAAGGTTCCCCGAGGGACGAAGTGTCGGGTAAATATCTGCCCGACCCCTCAAAGTAACTGTGAGTAGGTACTAATAAAAGTCGTCACGTGTACTGATTCACACGCTTGATTTGTTTAATAAGACGGGCCACGACAAAAAAATATTTTTTTTGTAAAGATAAAAGACAAAAAATTAAAAGATTTTTTTAAGTTCTACAATATAGCTTAACATAAAGTTTGTTGGAGAGTCCACACTTTTGGCTGCCCGTTAGCAATGTAATCAATACATTGTTAAGAAACTGACTTAAAATAAATCATCTATCATCTATCTATCTATGTATATATATATAGAATTGCTGTTCGTAAGTCTCGCTAAAACTCGAGAACGGCTGGACCGATTTGGCTAATTTTGGTCTTGAATTATTTGTGGAAGTCCAGAGAAGGTTTAAAAGGTAGACAAATATGAAAATGCTCGGAATTAAATAAAAATATAATAACAATTTTGTTTAACCTTTGATGTCTCCCGTCGGACGGATTCCTTTTGTTTGTTTTAAGGCTATTTTATACAAAAGTTTCGGTCTTTTATTTATCGATTGAGGCACTACAAAGTCTGCCGGGTCAGCTAGTTTTTCTATAAAAAAATTCTGAGAATTCAATTATTTTTTAAATATCAGTATTTTTTTAAAACAAACGTAATTGTTTGAGATTAAAGTTATGATAAAAGATTACTTATACAGTAGTTGGTAAAATATGATGATAATTAATTAATGTTAATTACATTAATAATAATAATTTAACATATAATAAAAATCAATCATTTTTCTTAAATTTATTGTTCGATAATTATAGGTTACTTTACTGGTGGTAGGACCTCTTGTGAGTCCGCACGGGTAGGTACCACCACCCGCCTATTTCTGTCGTGAAGCAGTAATGCGTTTCGGTTTGAAGGGTGGAGCAGCCGTTGTAACTATACTGAGACCTTAGAACTTATATCTCAAGGTGTGTGGCGCATTTACGTTGTAGATGTCTATGGGTTCCAGTAGCCGCTTAACACCAGGTGGGCTGTGAGCTCGTTCACACATCTAGGCAATAAAAAAATAATAAAAAAACTACCAAACTAATGATCTTTACTCGCGTAATTCGTAACAACTCGTATTTATCATACATTGAAAATTAATGTCCATTCGCAATTTTATTACTGCACATTGTATTCAAGCTAGTTATTTATTTCATAGATCAGATTCCACTTGCATTTATATCACTCACCTAGAGTGATCACGATCGTGAATTAGCTGTACACTTTTATCACGGCGCGAATGGTGTTACGGAAATGTCGACTGCAAATATCACGTTTGCATGATTATCTGAATTAAAATTTAACTAATTTATGTGTATTATCTATGTCAAAATTTTCGAAATCGCAAATGAGAGAGAGAGAGACAGAGAGAGACAGAGAGAGAGATAGAGAGAGAGAGAGAGAGATAGATAGAGAGAGAGATAGAGAGAGAGAGAGAGAGAGATAGAGAGAGAGAGAGATAGAGAGAGAGATAGAGAGAGAGATAGAGATAGAGAGAGAGAAAGAGAGAGAATTCTTTATTGTACAACAAACAGTAAATAAACAATGCGATAGGTACATTAAATACAAAAAAAGTACAATTGGCGGTCTTATCGCTAAGAGCGATCTCTTCCAGACAACCATCAGATGGACGAGAATCATTTGGAAATGAATTACGCGCGGTGTACCAATCCAGTGAAATATGTACATATTCATACACATACATACATATATATGTATATACACATGATGAGTTCACGGTACTCTCACAAAATTATCATGAAAACCCCTAAATCTAAGATTAGATGTTCGAGTTTACATCTCTTCTATTATTAAGATGTTGCCGTGTCTAATAGAGGTCACGACTTTAATGAACCCATCTTGAAAATTATATTGAAGTTTAAATTTATAATAATTGTCTAACGACCGCTTCGCGGGAAATCTAGGCTGAGTGCACGGTACTTATGGGCTAACAATCCGATTTTCCTAAAGTTATCTCACCGAGCTACCTTTGGCAAGCTAATTAGTATTAAATCCTCTTCATATTACTGATCTCAGCTTACACAAACCATAGTTCCAATAACAAGATTACCGCCAAACCACAATCCCGACACGCTAATTAAACACAACGACTAATTATTTGATTTCAGGTCAACGATTATAGGATTTCAATATAATTATAATTATGTATTTTGTATTTACTTGCATATTCTTAGTATTTATTTGTATTTAATCGTATGTAAGTCTATCTTATATTGTATTTATTTTTCACATGTGTATATAAGTATATATTTTTATGTATGTTTATTAAGATATAGCACCGTCCAGTTCGCTTATTCCTCTCCCTGCAAGGTTACCTGGAAGAGATCGCTTTCAGCGATAAGGCCGCCAATTTATGTCACCGACTATTATTTGTTTTTATATGCTTACTTTGTACATATGGTGTAAATAAAGTGTTATATTATTATTATTATTATCTTAAGCTCTTATGTAAGAGATGCTCTAAGATTAATAGACAAGCCTGTTCTATAATTTTAATTTGCTTTACAAAGCAGAAGTACGGCCTCGCGTGGAGTACTTCTCCCATCTCTGGGCCGGGACTCCCAGATACCAGCTTCTTCCATTTGACTCCATACAGAGGAGGGCCGTTTGGATTGTCGATAATCCCATTCTCACGGATCGGTTGGAACCTCTAGGTCTGCGGAGGGACTTCAATTCCCTCTGTATTTTGTACCGTATGTTCCATGGGGAGTGCTCTGAGGGATTATTCGAGATGATACCGGCATCTCGTTTTTACCATCGCACCGCCCGCCACCGGAGTAGAGTTCATCCATACTACCTGGAGCCACTGCGGTCATCCACAGTGCGTTTCCAGAGGTTTTTTTGCCACATACCATCCGGCTATGGAATGAGCTCCCCTCCACGGTGTTTCCCGAGCGCTATGACATGTCCTTCTTCAAACGAGGCTTGTGGAGAGTCTTAAGCGGTAGGCAGC